TCCTCCACATTGCATTCCTTTTAATGAGGTTATTTAACGCAGCTTCAATTTAAAGTCAAACAGAATCTCTGAATATATAGAATATATCGTACAACACCAAAATGTATTTTCTTAGCAGAGCTTATCATTAAACATACGGTACATTTTATATGTTCTTTATTGTTCTATAGACAATTGCAGTGATGGTCAGATTGTTATTGTTTTTGAAATCGTTCTATCACATGAATCCAAACATCAGATTGATAAATTCAGATTTGCCTTTGGAGAAATTATTGCCTTCTTGTTTTTAACAATGAACTACTGTAGTTGAATGTTGATGTCTACTTCTGGTGAAATTTCCACCTGTTCTTCAGTTTGCACAAGTGCTGGTGTTTCCTTTCTTACCAATTTTAATTGGAAAATTGTTGGAAAATTGGAAGGCTTTTTTTTGTTGTTATCACAAGTCGAAATAAGATCAGATCACAGTGTTTGTATGTTTCTTTTTCCTGTAGCTCTGGTATTCCAAATTAGAAAGTACCCATTACTGAAATATACAGCTGTAAGGATCACTCTTTGGTGGAAGCCATCCTGCACAGACACTGTTTCAGATCTGAGGGCATTTTCTTAAAATTCACTGATGAGTTGTTAAATTATAATCTAGATACTGTAGATCATAATTAACTAACAGCCACATAATGTTGCCTGAAGATGTCTGGGACAAAACAAAATTGTTATTTAGCATTGTGATTATGTGATTATTTGATTGTGATTCTTATATAGGTTTGTCCCATGGTAATCTCCTAAACATGTACTGTGTAAAGTAAAAAAAGAACATTCACCCCTGCTTTAAAAATAATATGATCAAAAATATTGTGAGTGTTTGAGCACACACAGCACCCACAGAGCTGGCACCTAAGCACTGAAGCATGTTTTGTAGGTGGTATTATGGAACAATAAATGTGCTGACATGTTTTCAAAAGGTTTTATAAGTGTGTACAAAAAAAAAAAAACTACTGTATTTATCCAAGTGATACACAAGCTTTTGAACATAGAATACAGGAACATAAATTTGGTTAAGTAATTTAAAGTTTATTTAATTACTGTTTAATTTGGATTACATTACTATATATATTTTACTGAAACTTGTATGATTCACAGTATTTTCTGGAAACCTTTTCTTTATTTAAACAAGTGTTGTTTCTAGGCTGTAAATAAGAATATCAAACAGGATGCAAATGTAAACAATGAAGTAAAATAGAGAGAAAAAGAAGTAACCAGCTAAACTGATATGAAAGAAACATAGGAAAGCCATGATTGCATACAGTAAGTATTCAAACCCGTTGATAAACCCATTGACTAATGATATAGCATCATTAGTCTATTTGGGAAACATTTGTGAAGGGCAAAGAAAGACATTTTAAACATAGTTACAAAATTAGTCAATGTTAATTTCATTTTCCTTGTCAAGGATGTCGGAGTAACTAGGCCCATGATTAAATTAATCAAGCTTTCATTAGAATTGTGCAACAATAATCACTGCAAAATCTTGTTGACGTCTTTTTAAATGATCAGAGAAACCTACAGTGTTCATCATTCTGGTGTTCCCATCTCATCTGTTGTGAAGTCCTGCAGTGCAAATGAATCTGCAAATGAATTTCTTTTCCACCCTATCAAGTTCAGTTCAGTTTATTGTCATATGCACAAGTGCAAAGAAATGCTTGTTTGCATGTATGCTCCAGTACAAAGATATTAAAGGAATCAACCAAAAATAAACATAGCAGCAGCAGCAACAACAAATTAAATACCTTAAAAAAACATCAGTGTGAGCCAATGGTAGGAGTAAAGTTCGGTAATCTGTCAGATGGTGGGAAGAAACTGTCTCTGAATCTGGACATTTGTGCCTTTATGCTCCTATAATTCTTACCAGAGGGAAGGTGGGAGACAAATGAGAAACCAGGATGACTGGTGTCCTTAGCAATATTTCCAGCCTGCCTGAGACAGCCAGTTGTAAAAATCACCCCCTGTGACCCCTTCCGGTCAGACAACGAGCTTCTGCTGAACCACACTGTAATACCACACGTGCGCACACTCTCAATAGCGCACCTATAAAATGTGGTAAGGACAGTTGAAGATTGTGCCTTCTTTGTAGCTCCAGTTACATGCTTGGACCACGTTAAATCAATAGTGATGAAGGTACCCAGGAACTTGAAGCTGCTAACCATCTCAACAGCCACTCCATTATTGTGAATAGGGCTGTAGTCCCTACCCTGCTTTCTAAAATTAATGACCAGCACTTTGGTTTTGCCGACATTGAGGGAGAGATTATTGTCAATGCACAACTCCACCAGGTTCCTGACCTCATCCCTGTAGGCTGTCTCCTATTTTGCAGTGATTTGGCCAATGATGGTAGTGTCATCAGCATATTTTAGATGGACTTGGAGCTGTGTTTGGCCACACAGTTGTGGGTATACAAGGAGAACAGCAGGGGGCTAAGCACACAGCCCTGAGGGGCACCTATGTTGATGGTCAGTGTGGAAGAAAGTTTCTCATCTACCCTGTGGTCTGCCAGTCAGGAAATCCAAAATCCACCTGCATATAGAGGTGCTGATGCCCAGATTACCAAACTTCCTGACTAGTCTGGAAGGAACTATTGTGTTAAATGCGGAGCTGTAATCAATTAATAGCATTCTGACGTATTTGCCTTTATCATCCAAATGAGCCAGGGCACAAAACCTTATGAATTTCTGGGAATTATTGTGTAATAAATTTTAATATATTATTTCACAAATAATAAATAATTCAATTCAAAATAATTAAATTTTTATAAAATATATAAATTATATATTTGTTCACTTAATGTATGACAGTTCAGTACAGTATGTGATGTTGCTTCGCACAAAACCCTTAACATCAAGCAGATAAAAAAGGAAGAGTAAGGGAAATGTTAACTCCGGGGTTGCATGCTCAGTCATTAAGTTTCATGCAGAATCCTCAGTTTTACACATACCACTTTTGGCAATTTTAGCAGTGGTAATTCATAACTGGATCTGGTTCAAGGCTGGAAACATCATCTTCCTCTTAAGGCTTTCATGAGAAAAAAGTGTAAAACGTCTGATAATCAGCCTACTACAGGGTGTTGAAGCATGTTCCTCATAATTTTTTTCATGGGCTGTATTTTTCTTTTTAAATATTTTATCACAAACCAAGAATGTATTGTAAATAGACAAAATCTAAGGTATGATGCATTGTCATATTGACATTGGGTGCCTTCTCAGAAAAAAAAGAGAAAAATGAAAAAAAACAGCAGCACCGACAGCAATGTCAGATCTGACATTGACTTCCATCCATCCATTTTCTAATCACTTCTTCCAATTCAGTGTTGAAGGGAATACGAAGCCTATTCCGGCAAGCAGTGAACACAAGTCAGGGTACTGTACATCCCGGATGGGATATCAGTCCATTACAGTACAGTAGACAGACACAGATACTCTAACCCTACATCAACTATTCTATGCACTACTTCACACAGCTTTTGCATCACTCTTGCACTGGAAAGGAGCCTTACTGCATATAGTACAGTGCTTAGTTGCTAATATTGTTCATATTTTGTGTAAAATCAGTTAATAAAGGATTACAGATTTGATCACGTACTGTATTACCATTAACTTATTTTAATCAAATACATAATTTGTGCAGACAGTAAGTTTTTTTTAAACCATTCATAATTGAAATAGAATCTCGGTTCCATAGTTATAATTATAGTACGGAAGGAAACAGATTACATTATTAAAGTTTTTTCACACTTTTGGATAGTAATATTTTTTTTTTCAAATTTGGTTTATAATTGTGACATTATCTCCCAAAAATGTTTTTTAAGACTGAAAAACACTATCACAGTGTGGGCAACAGCATTGGGAAAATTATCCTCTTTCCTTGTTTTTAAGTTAAAAGTAGAATATAAGCTGTAAAAATGCAAAAGTTACAGTTATTATGAAACATGACACATTTATTTCTAGCAAGGAAAACTAAAGGCTTCATTTTCAGTGAGAGACTGGATTAACTGCATGAACCTGCACTACGAAATCAGCATCAACACAAATAGTACCTGTGGTTTTAGGAAATACAGTAGGTACTGTAAGTCCAAACAGAATCTGAAGGTTTTCCATTAAAATCTCATAACTCATATAACTGCTCTTCCATTTTCAGAATGGTCACAAATACACATGTGGGCACTCTAGGAAATGGAATTTAAATAAAGGTTTTCACCTGCACTGAAAGAGAAGGACTTTTTCAGGTCTTGTGTTGTAAAGCAAGAGGTGGTGTTTCCCACAGCCCTTGTGAGGCCTGCCTGCTTCATCTGCCTGTGTCTTTGTGTATGCCACGGCTTCCCCTGGGCTTTGCCTGCCCTAGAGAGTGAGAATAGCTGAAGTAGAGATTTCCATCCTCTAATCTCCAGGAACGGGAGGCTTGTCAGTGTGGGGAGTCTTTAATAATCCTATCTTAAGACTTTAGCAATGGGCCCTCGGGGGAGATGAAGCAGAGGCAGTGAATAAGGAAAGAACAGCGCTTATCTTTGCTCTTTTCCTGTTGACAACACCTTTTCCTCAGAAGCACAGCCACTTGCCTTCCAGCTTTCATGTACCACACCTGTTGGGAGGGAGTGGCAAGATCGACAGTCGCCCTCCTCATATCGGGGTTTGCCCCCAGAATCCTTCACATGACTGATGTTTGTCGATTATCGAATCACTACAATATGGGCTGGTTTTCTATTGTTGTGTTTATACAGTACCTTGCTCATATATTTCTTGGCATATTCTTTGTTTCATTAGTACAGTCTAATAGTTTTAATACCTGGTGGGTTTTTTTCTAGCAACTTTGCTTTGTATTCCATCCACTGCAGGTACTGTAGTGTTCATTTCACCGACATTAAAGATAGACAGACAGATAGATGGATAGACAGACAGATAGATACTTTATTAATACCATTAGGAATATTTGCAGTGCAACAGCACCCTGGCACAGTCAACACAGCACAGTGTAACGAAATTATACAATACTACAACAATACAATACAGCAATACAGTCAGTGAGAAGAACAAGCAGATAGAGAATTAGAAATCCCTGAAACTCAAGAGTATTTTACAAGCAATATTTTATGATATATTACAATTTAATATCTTTGTAAAAACATAGTTATTATAGGGGGAGTCTGAGTCCCCCTGCTCTATAGGAATGAGCAATACCACAGGGGTGGATTCACACACCCACAATTTTACATTGGTTAAGGACGATTAATCAGTGGAATAAATGGATCAAACAATCCAATTTATGCAGAGAAAATCATGTTCTTTTCCTTTCCAAATAATAATTAGATACAGTAATCTGGGGTTACCATAAACATAAAAATGATAAAAAATAAAAAGTTACATTTCAGAATTTTGGCATTGTTGAAAAGGAATGATAGCAGTACATTTTATGATTTGAGAAAGGTGTGCAACACTTTAGAAACAGCTGCAAGCAAATCAGGTATGACTTACAACTTAGACTTTGTAGAAATCTTAATTTCTGCCACAAATATTAATATATTATTTACAATATATAGGTGTCATCTTTATTAAACATTATTTTGCAGAGAATACATGTGGATGTATCAAATACAAGATTAATAAAGGGGTTTTACAATGTCAAATTAATGGCTTTGTCTGTGGAATAAACTTAAAAATAGTCTGACTGCTTCAAAATATTCTTACAACAATGTAAATCACAGCATAATTGTAATTCTAGTGCAGGGTGTGTGTAAAGCAAGGCTGTAAGAAGCTTAATTCCAGATAGAACCTTTAGGTTTTTATTTCTAGAGCATTTTGCTGTACTTCAAAATAGAAAGTCTCTTTTTTCCTGTAGCAGAAACTCTGTCTGGAATGTACACGGATGTTGAATGCATGGTAATTTTAACTGTAGAGCAGTGATTCCCTTATTATTAAGGTAACCAAGGGAAACCTGCATAAGGGCTCAGTGATGCTCAGTGCAGTGGTGGATTGAGTAATTTGCTGCTGCCTTTGAGGAATGAAATTAAATAGAGGGTTGCTCACGAACTCCAAGAAGATATTGAGCTGTTGTTGACACTTCATTCTTCTTTTTGTGGAAGAAAAAAATTACTGGTGATTAATGAAAGCAGGCAGGTCCTAACTTTCATATTGGGTTATTACATTTCAAATCAACCCAAATCCAGGAGAATCTCTACCTCCAGATTTTGATTTTGATTATATATATTTTTTTTGTGCAAGCAGTCGAGCATGAAACTAGGCCAATTGTTTAGTTTTACAGATTAGGTTTTTCTCATTTACTGTGCATCCACCTTGGTTTATGTGTGGAGAGTGTAGTTAGAGTTAAAATGACAGTTACAATGTCAGTAATCCTATGAATGCTGACATGTTCAGTGACACCTGAAGAAGGCTCCACGGCCAAAAAGTTGTGTTTTCTTTCTTCTTTTTTTCAGCATGGAATAAACTTATTACTTGATCCTATGAATTCTGCTGTGTAGGTACAGTAAGTACTGTAGATCATCTGTAGGATTCATACTAACAGGGCCACTGTTTTGGTGATTCTGTGTAGCATGAACATTAAAAATGAACATAAAAAATTGACTAATTACTTACAGTATATAATGTCCCTTGTTAGACAAGATTTATCTGGCTTTGCAGATGACAATGGTGATTATATTATTGACTTGGTTATCTGTGTCTTTTGCAGTTTAGTGCACATTACAAAATGTACATGAAATACTTGTTCTTAAGTGTTGTCTTGCATGATATTTACAGTTTAAATTAAATATAGTTTTAAACCATTGGCTAATGTAAACCAAAGGGAAACCAAAAAGTTAAAATAAAAAGTATAAACTAAAACCATAAATTGTTTAGAACCCTTATGTGCAAGTGGATTTTCAAAGGCCTGGAGCCTCTAAATCCCAAAACTGTTTACCTTCTTCCTCCTGTGCCAGGCACACATTGTATTTCCAGTTCTTGGCACCCTAATTCATTAAACCAGCAATGTCTCCCCACCACACAGGTACAGAACCCAAAGGGGAGTGTTTGATCTCATTTCATACCACAATCGGGTAATCCACTGGCCTCTTGTTGCATCATTACTAAAACGACGCCTTGGTACATCTGAAGAAGCTCATAAAGAAGGTTTATATTTTTCTTCATTTAAAGCTCCTCTTACATTGTTTAGTTTTTATATTTTTTCTTTGCCTGAATTTAATTAAGTCAGCATAATACTCAGAATCTGCTATCAGTGTTTCTCATGTTACAGTCACATATGTCAAACTGGAGATCAGCCAACAGTACTTGGCGTATGATGCATGGTTTACCATTTGGTTTCTAACATCTTCCAGTTATCTTTATTTATTTATTTTTTGCTTTTTTTAAACTGAGTATAATAAAATGACAGATTGTGTTTAGATTTATGGTAAAGTATGCACAGAGATTATAGTATATCTAAGTAATACATATTGATCTGTTTTAACACAACAATCAAAAACCATTTTACTGCATCTCATTTGGTGCCACAGACACATTAAACTACTGTACTGTAACAATAATGCTCGTAATAACTGCACTGCTACAGTGATAGACACAGAAACCAGCTGAGAAAGGAAAAGCCAATTGTAATAGCCTCTCATCCAACACCTGCAAGCAGGCGAGCTTGGTTTACACCTGGTGTTCAGTGAAAACGTCAGTGAAAGGACTGGAAAATTATGGTTTTCTTCCTGTTTTCACAAAAAGCAAAGAGAATGCAACATGAATGGCTATAGTAAACAGAAACACAGAAGCATTAGTCAATCCCTCCATATTCAATAGTGTCTTTGGATCCTGGAATTTCTTTTAAAAAGGAGGGTCATTATCAAAGATCCTGAATTTCATTATCTGGCATTATCAATAGTGAATAACATTGTGAAAGACAAAGAACAAATATAGGAACTTCCCCGACGGAATCAACTATAAATGAGCAAAGATTAAATGTTACTAAGGAAATGAAAAAAAGCTTTAACGCAAAGATTGAACACAAAGGCACATGCCTCTAAGCATTGAATCTCCTCACTTAAGGTATTGTATGTACAATTAAATATTACATTCAGTCTGTGATGGTGTTTCATCACTTTTTCTTTTTCAGTAAGTGTTTTTAATACATAGAGGTACAATAATACATAAATAAACATATTGTAATTTTACATGTGAATGCATTAGACAGTGTCTGTAAGACTTAGCTTTGTGGTTTGTGTTAGAATGTAAAAATTCATTACACAGAGTGTTTCATGCAAGGCTATTCCTGTAATAATCACTACCTCACTTTGTATAGTAAACTTTTCTGTACTTGAACTTATCTTTTAGTACAACTAATGGACAACAAGTAGAACAAGTGTAAAACACACATATTATTGTTCCCTCTCAACAGTATTACAGTAGGTCCCATGGGGAAACAAAACACAACAAAGTTTCTGCCTATATTGCACACCCGAAGAAGGCTCCACAGCCGAAATGTTGTGTTTTCTTTCTTTCTTCATTTCATTTCTTTTTTTCAGCATGAAATAAACCTATTACTTGTTCCTTTGCAGCCTACACATGCTGACGCAGCTACCCACCTGAACTATATTACCACAAGTAGTATCAACCCCCTACAACATGCAACGTTTCATAATGTTTGTGCTTATTTCTTTTACACTTTTTTTTATCTAATAGAAAATCCTTATGCATAATGTATAGATCTGAAATTGTGGCCTTCTGTTTGTGGAATTTGGGTTATGTAGCAAGTTCAGGCTGATGAGTATATGATTTTAAATGAAAAAAAAAATTATCATGCATCCTCAAGTGTCCCCGTTTTTTACTACAGTCGTGCAACAAATCAGGCTCTTTTTCATTTTTGATTCAGTTGTGTTTACAGCATTGACAAATACAAAGTTTAACATTTAACAATGTCCATAGAAAAGCCTTCACTATTGATACTAAAATACAGCTGCTTTGGACTTAAGGATGTGTTGGATGAGTTGAAGTAATATAGACAGAATAAAATACAGTAGAACATGATTACTATTATGTATGGCAATTTGGATCATCATTACTGATATCTGATCAAAAGTGTGCTAAAGTTGCAGTCATACCTGTTAATAATAATTGTAGAATTGCAAATGTTTTTTCTTTGTTTCACCTCAAAATTAGCCGTATCATGAAACATACTGTACAAGACAAGCTGTGTAGAAAAAAAATAAAACATAAATTAAATGATGCTAAAATTCTTTTACTTTCAATAACAACCTAAGAAAAGATTTAAAGGTGAGGAGAAAGCAAATCGTTTCTAGAATGCTTCATTCCATATTTATTGCTGAAATTCAGTTGTTGTTGCTCGGAAATGTTGTTTTGTTATTAATACCAGGATCCAAATATATCAGAAGCAATTGATTATACACTGAAATATCCCCGGCATGCAATAGCTGCATTGTACACTGGATTATTTTTTTCTTTTTTATTGCACCCGCTTACACCTGTTCCTTAAAAATCAACATTATCCACACACCGTTTGAAGAGCTTTAGTTTACTTGGGAAGTCCGGGCCATAAGATGTTCTGCTCTCACCAGTGCAGGTGGCTTTGCTTTACCTCCACTCTAACAAGGATCTAGTCAGTACACAACACATCAGAACATAATAGCATTCTGTCTGGAGACACTGCGCGTGAACCTTAGCAAATAACAATGCAGAATTTGCACAGAAGCATTTGGGCTGATTAATTATATGTTTGTGTTACAAAGGATGCTATTAAAATTGCAAAGGGTGATGCAGTGAAATGAAGCTCTTCAAGCAAGTTGCCCAAGTTAAAATAAGGGCTTGCTGAAATCAACCTGACTGCTAAAAGTTTTGTTCTTAAAGAAGCATTTAAAGGCTAATAGCTATCGTTTACATTATACTGATCCACATCCCTCAGCATTGGACTTTTCCTATTACTGTTTCCCCTTTTCTCTCAGGCTCAACCTTTTATTTCCTTTCTCACGTATAGAAGCAGGGAGCAATCCCCCTTCTTTCCCTTTCCCTTCTTTGCCTGCAGCGGACGCCTGCTCTCTCTGCCTTTTCAGCCTTTTCCCTGCTCCACGATTAGCACGCCCCACTGTCATGCAAAGAGCAATAAACCTGTCAGTGAGCCTGTAAATCATCCCCTGCCTGTCATTCCCAATGTCACCAACACAGAAAAGTGAGCATTCATTACAGTATTTAACTAAACCACAGTGTTTTAATCCATTTTTAATTACAAAATTATTTATAAATGTTTAATTTATGAAAATGCATGTTTAGCATTAGAAAAGCAAATCCCCAGCCATTTTCCAATTTGAGGAGGTGTTATAGTCCACAAGATTTGGGAGGTTGTCCAAAGTGACACACTAGATTGCTGGGAGTGAATCTAGCTCTGAAATTCTATCAAGGAGATCTTTGTTTTTCATTCTTTTTATCCTTTTATTCTCATTGAGCTATCATTTGAAGATACAGTATATGCCTTTTTGAAGTTTGTGAATGTCAGCTTCAAATTTTACTTTTGAGGACATACAAAAAAGAATACAAGTGAGAGATCATTGGGTTGTTTGTCATTGAGTGATTAATTAGATGTTTCTTGAGTGTCTCTGGATATTAGACGGTTTTGATTTTTCAAGATACAGTTAAAAAAGAATTTTAAAATGGCAAAGAAACATAAAAAGTAATATTGCTATGTCAATGCAGGTCCCCACTTTATCAATCCTTATGCTGTGAAGAGCAGAAGCCCTATATTAAATCATTTTAGAAAAAAAGAGGCAGATATGTTTTACGTATTGGAAAACCATGAAATAAAATCTCAAGGGCCTAGTGATATTCTACAAATTGTACTTAAGGAAACATAGGTTGTTACACATAGGCCCTTAACAAAACTCTTCCAGCGGTCCGTCAAAGTGTAGCCATTAACTAAAATAGTCATTGTTATATTAGCAATATAAAACTCATCCATAAAAAGGGTGACAAAGCCAAGCCTAGTGATTATTATTAAGTTTCCAATAAGTCTCATGTCTATTACATGTAAGATTACAGAAACAATAATTAGAACTAAACTTGAGGATCGTCTATGGCAGTATTATTCTGAGGATAGTCAACATGCACTTAGAAAAGTTAGATCTTGTTTAAAAGTTAGATCTTGCACAGAGTTCCTTGAACAAGCAAAAGTTGTAATACACATACTGTACCACAGCAAGAGTTGGTTTCTTACCTGTTCTCAAATAAGCAGCTCCTAAGCCTCAAATTCTCTACCAAAAACAACCAGATTTCTGCTCCTGCTCTTTTCTTTCAGTTCTGTTTAACTCTCACTGGAACTCCAGAATCTCTGTGGCTACTTTGTCTCCTTCTCCCCTTCCCTCTTCTCCTAATCTGGTTTTCTCCACTCTGTCTCCCACCATTTTGACTCACTTTCTAGTTGAGTGTTCAACACACTGGACCCATAGCCCCAGCCTATCTTTATTTAATCTCTACCTTTTTCCCAGTCCTAATTTTTGCTGTCTCTTTCTTAGACTCCCATGGTTGTGTCACGCCCTCTCCAGCCAGAGGGCGCTCCTTCTCTGTCCTGTCCCTAGTTTCCGGTCTGCTGTCCTTCCGGTC